CTATCTCTTCTCTTTCTTTCTTCGCTATCTCTACTCTCTGCCTCTCTCTCCCTTCTCTCTCGCTCATACTCTCTCTCTCTCTCTCTCGTCCTCTCACTCTCTCTCTCTCTCTCTCTCTCGTGCTCTTCTCTCTCTCGTCTCCGATATCTTCTCTCTCTTCTTTTCTCGCATCTTCTCTCTCTCTCTCTCTCTCTCTCTCTCTCTCTCTCTCTCTCTCTCTCTCTCTCATCTCATCTCTCTCTCTCTCTCTCTCTCTCTCTCTCTACTCTCTATCTCTCTCTCTCTCTCTCTTCTTTCTCTCTCTCTCTCTCGCTATCTCTATTCTCGTTATCTTCTCATTTCTCTCTCTCTTCTCTCTCTCTTCTCTCTTCTCTTCTCTCTCTCTCTCTCTCTCTCTCTCTCTCTCTCTCTCTCTCTCTCTCTTCTCTCTCTCCTCTCTTCTCTCTCTCTCTCTCTCTCTCTCTCTCTCTCTCTCTCTCTCTCTCTCTCTCTATCTCTCTCGCTATCTTCTCTCTCTCTTTCTCGCTATCTTTCTCCTCTCTCTCTCTCTCTTCCCTCTCTCTCCTTTCTCGTTATCTCCTCTCTCTCTTTCTCGCTATCTTCTCTCTCTCTTTTTCTCTCTCTCTCTCTCTCTCTCTCTTCTCTCTCTCTCTCTTCTTCTCTTCTCTCTCTCTCTCTCTCTCTCTCTCTCTCTCTCTCTCTCTCTCTTCTCTCTCTCTCTCTCTGTCTCTCCTCTCTCTCTCTCTCTCTCTCAGTCACCGTTCATTTCATTTTACGTACTAATTAAAGTACCATTTTGTATGATTTCGCACAGTAGTAGATTAATATTGCAATTAAATTTATTCTTATTAGTGTGAATGTTCTTTTCGTGCAGTCACATCGGTGATTATTTTCATTGAGCTCAACCCACATTCCCACCTTCGCCTACTTAAACCCCCCCCCCACTCCTCACCCATTCCAATCCCCCCCCTCCACCCCATCCTTCCCTTAGCCTCCCGTCCACCCTCTCCTCCACTCCGTCGCTTATGTATTCCAACTCCACGCCATTCTATTCCTTTTTTGCTCTTACTCTCGCCTTATATCTAGCTACTAATGTTTCTAAATCTAATCTGAACACTAATATGTTTCCTATCCGTGTGCTATACCCTGACACTCATTTCACAACTCACCGATTCACTAAAACTCGGTCTACTCGCCACTCAAGCAGCCACACGCACATCGTCTCGTACAAACCTGTTAATTGCACAAGAATTACCTGCGTACTGTTTCCGAGAAGATAATCGACTTGCACCAATCGTGTATTCTTGTCGCATTGCCTTTTATCGTGCTTATGTTGTCTTGAGAAGCATATTTGATGTAATAAGTCGCTCCTGAAGTATGAGGACTGCATTGCCAGTTTTCATTATAGCTTTGCCTCGAATTGCTGTTGGTGATGTGTGATAAACAATTTCAACGAAACGAGATACATTTACTATTAGTCAGACGTATACCGTATGCACTATTGCACTGCACACTTCTGAATTCTGCAGTTACATTTTTATTTCTTTTTTTCCAAGGAAGTTCGTCGTTCAAGACAAGTCCTTGCGGACTGCGACACCTTTTGCTTCCTTGTAGTTCTGCACAATGCTTATCTCTTGTAGATTTCGACCTCCTGCTATCTGAGGCAATTGCAACTCAAGCAAGGCCTTGCGGACTATAGCAATTGTCTCCCTAAGCATGTTCCTCTGTCTGTCCTTGGACAGTGAATTATTGAAAAAAATAAATAAAAAATGAAAAATATGCAAATAATTGAATTAACACTACCATTGCAATGTGATATATTTTTATTATATCTTACGGGCCTTGTTGTCACACAACCCCCCCCCCCCACACACACACACACTGTCTGGCCTCCTGTTTCTCGCCCTGTCTCTGCCTCGGTGTACTTCTTCAGAGAACGCCAGCGCCATCCCGTCGAGGACGACGGTTAATAGTGTATGCCGAGCGATCTGAGGAACAAGGGTTACCTTCCCACGTCTCCAACGCGAGGGACTCCCGACCCACTCTTGACAGCTACAGGACAGTTGACCAGGGGTCACGGCCCTCACCTGACCTTCCCTTGGGCTCCCTTTGACCACAACTGCACAAGCATAATATCCTTGCATGATGTCTCAATTCCCTCTCCATATCATTTATCCATCTTACGTGTTTCTGTAACGCTCTCTGTGTGCATGTGTTTGTGTGTCTGCAAGTGCGTTTGTGAGTGTCTTTGTGCACCTGTAAGTACGTGTGTGTGTGTCTGTAAGCGAGTGTGTGTGTGCGTGTTTCACATCAGATCATACATCATTTCACATATATACAAACAGAAACGACCAACAAATAATTTCAAGATGGTTTATAAAAACGGTAGTGATATTGATAATAAAAAAGATAATGGTAATAATAGAGAGAGAGAGAGTGTATGAGTGAGTGTGTGTGTGTGTGTGTGTGTGTGTGTGTGTGTGTGTGTGTGTGTGTGTGTGTGTGTGTGTGTGTGTGTGTGAGAGAGCGATGAAAATGGTATTAATAATCACAGAAATATTTTCAACTGAAAGCCAGTAATGATGTTAATAACACCAGCGCTGCCACATCAGAGTATCTTTATATCATAAAGATACTCTGATGTAAACAGTTACATCAGAAACTATAATTATTTTTTTTTACAAAATGAATTATGTAATCTATCTACCTACCTACCTATCAGTCTATTTCTTTAACCATCAATCTGTAGATCGATATATTCATCTGTTTATCTATCCATAAATGTATCTATCAATAATCTTTCTATCTGCTTACTTACCTTCCTACCTATCTATCTATTTACCCTCCTATCTATCTCTCTCTATATATACATATATACATTTGAATATGTATATGTATACATATATACATTTGAATATGTATATATATACATATATATGAATATATATGTATACCTATATAATATATGCCGATATATGTATGCGTATCTATATATATGTATATCTATATCTATCTATCTATCTACACATACTCACACACACACTCACACACACACACGCACACACACACACACACACACACACACACACACACACACACACACACACACACACACATATATATATATATGTATATATAAATACATATATACGTTTGTGTGTGTGTATGTGTATGAATTTATACACATACATATGCAGGGATAGTATCAACATACATATTAATAGACGAGATATACAGAAATACCTCTCCATTATATCTTGTTTACTGCACTCGAGTACGGAGCGATATTTCTCCCCACCCCCTCCCTCTCTACCAACCCCTTTCCCTCCTCCTCCCCACCCTTCCCCTCCTTAAGAACGAACTTCACTTTCCCTCTCCATCGCGGGTGTTTCCAAGAATCACTTTATTCTTCTTGAAAACGGCTTTTTTTCTGTGATTTTCTTTCCTGTTTTCCTATTTCGCGGTGTTATTTGTGTGAATGTGTTATATTTCGTGTCTCTTTAGGTGTACACTTTCCCCTTTTCTCTATATTCTTTCTACATTTCCTAACGTATTTGCATCCATTAATTTATCTACTCATCATTTCTTCTTTATTCATTTCTTTTTTCTATACTTTGACTTGGGGAAAGAGTGAGAGTATTTTTTTTAACAGAAAACGAACGAAAAATAGCGCCAAAAGACGAACAATTACCGTGACAAATGCAGCGAAACGGACGCGGTACTCTTTCACTTTCCTTCCCATGCGACTTTCTCTCTTTCCTTCCCTTATCAGCTTTTCTCTGTCCATTACTCTTTCTCTTTTTTGCTAACTATCTGTTTGTTTGTCTGTCTCTCTCTTCCCCCCCCCCCCCCACTCTCTCTCTCTCTCTCTCTCTCTCTGCTATGCCGGTCTACCTTTTAACATTTTTTATACTTTTCCTATCAATTTCTCTTGGCCGCCTTTGACAGTTTTTATGGCAAGGATAGGGTTGTAAAACAAGGAAATAAGAAATGAGGAGAGAAAGAGACGGAGGGTAAAAAAACATGAAAAAATGAAGGATATGTATATATACACACATTCATACATACATACATATATACACACACACACACACACACACACACACACATATATATATGTGTGTGTGGGTGTGTGTGTGTGTGTGTGTGTGTGTTGTGTGTGTGTGTGTGGTGTGTGTGTGTGTGTGTGTGTGTGTGTGTGTGTGTGTGTGTGTGTGTGTGTGTGTGTGTGTGTGTATGTATATATGTATAAGCAACACGAGCGAAAGTCAATAAATAGGACGAAATGAAAAGAAAACCGATCATGGCGATTTCTCTCCTGTTTCTCTCAAGGTCTTGTCTTTTTTTTTTTTTTTTTTTTTTTTTTTTTTTTTTTTTTTTTTTTACTCCTTTGACCCCGAATACCTGTCCCTATTTATTCTAATTTGCACTTTCTCTGTTTCGTTTTGTTTTGTATTTTAGTTTCTCCCCTTTGTCTGTTATCTTATTTTTTCTATTCCTCTCTTCTCACTCTCTCTCTCCTTATAATTCCTTCTCCTGTTATCTGTCATCGTCAGTTTTCACTCCTGGATTTCTCTTCTTAGCCTACGTGACAGAATTGATATCTGAATTATTCATTTAAACAAATGATATATTCTAATTAAATTCTAAATACGACAGTTGTCTACTCCATGTCGGCAACTACCAGAATTCCCGAAAAAAGATGACTAAGATTCAGTATTTATTTCCCTTTTTAACTTTCCAATTCACCTGCCGTGTCTAGAGACTACTGTCTGCCTGACGTACGATTCATTCACTCTTTACACTAGCCTGAACCGTATAAGAATCCTATCGGCTCGTTATATTACTTATATATACACTATAATTTTTATCATGTATATTTTTCATATATATTCATTCTTTGAATATAGATTCTAAAGTCACGTTCCTTGGCGCCAGTACGATACGTTGGCTCAAACTTTCTTTGCTTTGCACCGAAGAATGAAAGTTCAGTCATAATG